TCTAGAGATCTTATTTAACTTTCTAAGATGCACTCACATAGCAATACACATCTGAAGTAATTCCCTAATTTATTTCAAAAAATTATTTACAACTAAGAAATGATTTCACAATAGGGCTTCATAAAATTTTGTATTACGTATCTATCATATGTTTTCTTTCATTAAAATGAAATCTTAGTATCAGTGTTTCTTATAAATTCGTAGCGTTTTAAAATAACGAATTGGTTCGCTCTAAAGCGTAAAATCGATTGAGTTTCTTAAGCAAGACTCTTTCTATTTTTACTTTGACCACAAAATATTTAGTCTGTGCCTACATTGAACCTGTGCGTGGATGGCTTTAAATAACAAATACACAAGAAATCACACAAAATTATAAAATTGCTACAAATTTTATATATATTGAAATAATTGAATTTCACATTATTTCTGAACTTATACGGATGAAATATTATTTTTTTATTGTTGTAGATCTAGAATTATTCTTATCCTATATCAATACCACAAAACTTTCAAATTTCTAAATTTTTAAAGTGGGTTTCTAAAACAAAACCAAAACTGCAGGTGACGCATTTTTAAATGTAAACGTTTTACGTTGAAATAATTAAACAACCACTTAACAATTCTTAAATTTTTGGTCTGCATACATATGTTAATGAAATGAAGTCTCTATTGTAACATCATTAAAAATCTTCTTTTCTCTTCAATAAATCACATTACTTACGCATACAATGTAGGTACGTACTAAATTTGGGGTACGTGTGGGCTTAAGTTTAAGTATTCCATATAAATCTCATAATTTTTACGACGCCCTTTTCAGACTTGACATTCTGTGTTTTGTTTCTATAAATTACAAAGTATTCAAATAATACAAAATTGCTTTCGCAAAGAAAAGACTTTTTTTATAAAATAGCCATCTGTTGCATACTCTGTGTGCTTAACGGTTTTTCTAAATTGCTTTGCGGTAAAATGATATACCGACCATCTGAGTTATACACAGCACTCATTGTTAAGCTCAAAGAATCCGTATTAAATTAATATTATTTGTGTTAGCAAATTTATTAATTATTACTTTATTGTTTTAGAATATACATACTTATGTAGTATTTATCAGGTACCGTCTTTACAATAAACAGATAATTGATAATTGAAGCCCTTTATAAAATTTTTCGGTGTAATAGCCATAATAAACCTTAGTCCTTAAAAGTAAATAATAAACTATTTCTCATGCAATAAATGGAAACATAATTGTAGTTAAATGCAGTGTTAAAACAAATTCATATCCTATATTCTCGTAATAATTCCAAGATTCTTCGTATAACCTCGTATAATATTAATAATGATAAGTCAAAAAAAAAGAAATCGTTTCAATACAATAACATCACTACCCTAAGAACGAGTTGGCATAGACAACTAGACACAGAAAATTCAGAGTTTTCAAAATAACACACATCTGAGTTGATAGGTATCAAGGATATGTGAAGAGTTTTTTGAATGAAAAACTGGCAATCATCCGTCTTAACTTCTGATACGAATACAGGAAAGTGTTATTGGAATCTGTAATGATTTTTAAAATCTTTGTTTACGTTATCCATTTACAAAAGTTATTAATTCAATGCAAAGATTTCGAGGACCTACAATCCATGATTGAATACTCTTACAAGTACAATACAAAATTCTGTCAAACAATGAGCTCGTTTTTCTGTCAGCACTCCCTGAGTGACGGGGCAACCCTACTACGCACAACTTCAAAGACAATGCAAGTGATGATATATGACTCACATTTAAAGTAATAATATTCTGTATCCTTGACTCAATTTGTTTACAAGGTGTCAAAATTTGGAACAATCAGTTACTTAGAGAAGAAGCTTCCTATTAGTCTGATCTCTGAGACAATTAATAGGAAAAAAGAATGGCAATTTTCTCCAGAACAACTACTGGCTTACCCCGAGTTTGAATTGTAAGACTACATACTCAGCGTGACCAGTTTTTAATTCGTACTCGTAAATCATCGCATCTTGTAGTATAAACGTATGTTATTGCAGGAGGATTAAAACCGTAATAGTATGTAGTTAAGAAATTATATTATAAATATTAAACTGAGTGCCGTATCTATTTATGGATTTGGAAAATATTATGGGAAAACAAAATCAAAGTCTATTAAAATGTATATTTCTGTTGATTACCTATCTGATTATCAAACTATCTATTAATTATCGTTGTTCAAGGAAAATGGTTTAGGTACTGGAGCCTCACATATATTGCATTAAAAACATTTTAGATCACGTTAACAGTGTAAAGAGTTTTATTTTCCATTCCTATTACTATCGGTCACTGTAAAAGTAATTTTATTGATTGTAACCTTACCTATTCAACTTAACTTGTTTGTTTATATTAAAAAAATGCAGCATCTAATAGGTAATTTACAAATAAAAGTATATAGTACATATATTTGATACTGGAAACATAGGTAAAATTTCAACAAATGCAACATTTATAAATGAGGAGTTTTTTTGCTTATTATTTGGACGTACCTACCTATGATTTAAAAATTAAATTAAGTTAAGAGGATTTAAATTTAAAGTTATATTTAGAGCACAGTGTCCATCCTATGAAATAGTTATAAAACAAACCTACTACTTAAATGAATTTACGAGAAGTAGAGTATGAGTACTCTACCACTTTTATATTCAATTATATTCCCGTAACTAGAAGATTTTAACGCTCAGCCATATGCGTAACTATTTAGTGTTTAATTAATTACTAATTGTGAGAAAATTACCTTTAAAGTCGTTAATATATGTAGAAAACATTTCACCTTAAACTTTCTTCTGATAATCTGCTTCCAATGTAGATACGCGGAATTATCCACTAGTAGTTAAGCGGATTTGAACTATCCCCGACTATACGAGTATATCCCTTATTATTACCCCAGCATTTATTATACGTACTCAGTACTCGTACCTAGAAATTTTATTTTTAAATTTACGTATAAGTACGTCAATGATACATTTTTATTAGTGAAATATCTACGTTCCTTATTTTTATCCATTTTAAGAATATTTGATTGAAATTATGGATTTCAAATATGTATATACTATACCTAATAATTCTAACACATGACGAAAAACCAAATGAGAAAGCAGGTTATTATAAAAGTTTTTGAAAAGCACATACCTACATTCAGTGGTGCTGCTTAAGTCAAAGTGTACAGCAGATGCTGAGACAGTCGATTCCTCGATGCGAACGAAAACTTGGTCTTTCTCAAACTTCAACTTAACGAATTTTGCGGCGAGACTTAGGCTTACACCCGTATAAGATTCAACTGACCTTATGCTCAAAGTTCAAGACCACTTTAAGGTTAGGAAGACGTAATTCGTTCGTTGACTGGTCTTCCAATCATTTGGAAGAGGATCTAAATTTTGGCCGAAAAAACATCTTTAGCGACCAGGCGAATTCTTAGATTTTTAACAAACAAAATTGTCGCATATGGGATAAAACAAACCCACACCAGGTTTCAGCAGCTTCACCAATTGAGAATGCATCCTCAAAAAGTAACCGTTTGGTGCTGCTTTTGGACCAGCAGCGTCATTGGTCTGTGTTTTTTCGAAAACGTTGTTTGCGAAGCGGCCACCATCAATGGCGGGCGCTACAGAATAATGATAACGAATTTATTATGACCCAAATTAAACCGTCTGGACCTAAACGATATATTTTTCACGTACCACAGAGAGGACACCACCATATTTATGCAAATAAACCACAACCTACTATGTCCTAAAGGCGAACAAAACCGTAACAGCCGTCGCTCAAATGCATCTATGCGGAAGAATAATTGAAAATTGGGCCACTCGGATTCGTCCACTATGAGAAACCGAAGCGGGCATTAGAGCAATGTCATCTTCCATACTTAATGGCATATATTGACCTTAAAAATTTTTTTTTTGTTAAAACCTCACACAGCTTGATAAAACAAAACATTCCTAACTCTACCCGCCCTTATTGAAAGAGTCTTTAAATCTATACTAATATTATAAAGCTGAAGAGTTTGTTTGTTGTTTGAAAGCGCTAATCTCCGAAACTACTGGTTCGAATTGAATAATTCTTTTTGTGTTGGATAGTCCAGTTATCGAGGAAGGCTGCGCGCTATATAACATCACGCTACGACCAATAGGAGCAAAGATATAGTGGTAAATGTGTAAAAAAACGGAACAAATTATTTCATCTATGAAGCCTTCCGTTGCGTGCGCCGTGAAAAGGGTTCAAGATACACAAAAAATATGTATTAAAGAATAATAGCTCTTTTAATTATCTAAAAAATAACTATGTAATTTTTTTTACTGTGCAATAAAGAGTATATATAAAAAAACAGTCCGCGACAGTATATGTCTATCTTTTAAGATTAACTCGCAAAAACCGTTTTTATAGTACCTAATTTGGTCGGAATAATTTGTTTAAGTTGTGTCGACATAATAATCTTAATCTTTATTCAAATAAACATATTTAATGTTGTTGGTTAAGATTACTTCATTGTGAATAAAAAAAAAAACAGGTTTTATCCTGAAAATTCTACAGGAACTCGACCATTCCGAAAACCCCGCAAGAACGGGAACTATGTGGGAAGAACCCAAAATCTGCCGGAAGTCACTATTCCACGCGGACGAAGTCGCGGCAAAAGCTAGTGTATTATAAAACGTTTTGTAAACTTTGCAAAATTGATTTTTTAAAACAAGCAAAACCCTTTTATTAAAGAGTAAAAGATATAATGGAGACACGATGGAAACACCAACTTATTCATTACCTAATTAATTTTAATGTATTTTCTGTAACAACAGTATAAGCGTGTAATTTTCCAAACATTAACATTCTAAATTCAGAAATCATCAAAGAATCTGTAACGTCCTAAATTATATACATTATAAACCTAAAGAATTAAATACTCTTAGATTGTAAAAATAAAAATAAAATACATTTACCACAGATAAATTATATTTCACTTAATATTACAACGTTAAAGCTCCAAATATTGGAAAAGGGGTGGGTTTATTTAATTTATACCTAAATCTATTTAACAGTCCACTAGCTATAACACCACTTGTATTTTTAACACAACACGTTTGAGTTCTGTCAAATTTCCTCTTAACCTCTAATGATCGACAGTTCTTTATTTTTATCTGTATTTGTTTATTATTAGCACTAAATTTAGTTATTTCGAAACAAGCTTCCCTTTGTATTTTTGTTGTTTTTATTTTCGGTAGTGTTCTGACTTTTGGTATTCTTATCAAAGGTCTGATTGGAACGAAAGAGAATTCTAGGTCGGTGGCGATTTCTTTCGTCGTATTTTCGCTTGATACTGGTTCTGAAAACATACATATATGTTAGAAATAATTTAAATAGTTTTATTTCCTATTACTATTGAAGAAGCAATTTTCCAGAGAAGATTGTTTTTATTGTATTGAATATTTTCACCGACGTAAGCTTAAAAACTATTATATTAATGAGCCCTTCTTTGCTTCGAAATGTAAACACAAAAATTGTTAGTATAATTCTGTTAACATTACATGGTAGATTACTATATTCTTTTCAAATTTGGTTAGGTCGAGAGAGGAGTTTGGACAGTGGAGGTGAACGTTTAACGCGCGTTAGATAGAGACCCTTAAACCTACACCTGGGTCGCAAGTCCCAGTCACTGTTGAAGCTCCTCTCACTACAACGATGGACCCGGCACCCGCACGGTGAATACATTGAATGCTAAAACCCTTAAACCTACACCTGGGTCGCAAGTCCCAGTCACTGTTGAAGCTCCTCTCACTACAACGATGGACCCGGCACCCGCACGATGAATACATTGAATGCTAACAGGTTTCGTCTCACTATATATAGCAAAAAATAAATACTATCCCAACAGAGTAAAATGAAATATGTAAAAAAAATATCTCGTATCTTTAGCTGGTGACAAATTAATTGTATATATCAATGATTTTAATTATGTATAATTACCTTTGATAGGAAATAAAGTCCTCCTCGGCATTATTGAGTCTCCCAGCATTTCGTACAAAGTGTAGTCAGTCATAACATAATCTTCCAAATACGTTGTGGGCTCCGACCTTAGTAGACACGTGGATGCATCCTGAAATAAATATATAAATAATGCTTCAAACGTAATACTAATCTTGAATACATACATCCAAAAACTTAAAAGGATTTGGGTAAAAATATTAAAAAAAAAAATTAATCTTTATTAAGTACTAAACAACAGTATTGTTACACTTCTCTGTGAAGTTTTAAACCGATATATTGCTATAACACAATACAAAACGACGGTGTGATTTCTCTAAGGCCACCCGCAAACGTCTGCACACATCTTCCAAATATGCACATGATTTTCCATACTTTGGAATGTCACGTGTCAACTTATCAGGATCATTCACGGATCATAGGTCATAGCACCTTTTAGTCCCTCCTTGTTTGCTATTATCACTCACCAGTATAGTCTCTCTAAGGCCGCCTACACGCGCCTGCACACAGTCGTCCAGATGTTCCAAATGATCTCCCAGACACTCGACCAGCGCGTGTCGCCCCAACGCCAGTACACATCGGATCATAGGAGCTGTGAGCCTCTCTTTAGTACCTTGAGATAGGTAGTCAAAAAGAATTCCTTTACCTGTGGAGGGTATAACAATTTTTATGAGTCTTAAAGACTTTTTTCATATTAGCAAATTGGAATGGATCAGTTTTTATTATTTGCATACAAAAGAGCCACTATATGACATACTGAAATATATATTATTGTCTTAATTAGTATTAATAGACTTTACGATAGAAGACTGTGAAATACAATTGTTCTCTTCTTCTTCTTCTACCTGGCAATTTCCCAGATTTAGCCAGGGTCTGCCTTACATGTTGTGAATAGTTTTGGCTTATTGTTTTTACGACCGGCCATTGACTGACATCAACCCTCTTTGGGAATCAACATTAATCAGTGATGTCTAAATAATTATTAAAAAGTACATATGACTCGAAAAAATCACATTGGTACTTGCCAGGGCCAGGATCGAACTCGCGCCCTCGTGCATGGGCCTTTTAACAGTGGTTAAAAGTTTAAAACTACTAGGCCATCACTGACTTTATGGAATCCAATTATTACTCATGTGTATTTCCGTGTAATTAACTTATCAATATATAAAGAAATATAAACATACCTATCGCTATAAAAGATGGCCAAGTTCTAGTAATTTTAGTGAGTATGGCAACCATCTTCTCTGCTAGCGAACCGTTGCCCAAAATATTTGACACCATCACAGGGAACAATCGTTGAAACTGAAAAATGTTTCAAAATTATTACTATTTTATGACAAAGAGGGCAAGTAGTACCTTCGCCCATGGACATACGCAACATAGTTTTGCAGATGCGTTGTCACCCTTATTTGGAGAAGGGAAAGGGTGGGAAAAGGCAATGAGTTAGTCAAATACTACTTCACTTAGTCAAAAGAATTTTGTACCAACCTGTTGTTGTATGTTAGTGTCCAAACTGCATGGGTTGGAACACAATGCATCGACCATATCCAACACATTGGATTGCAACGGTTTCTTCGCTGGTACATTCAGAGCATTTAAATTATCATCATTAAGAACTAACACAGCCAGATTGAAGAGATTCGGAAATATTGGACCGATACGGGTGTTTGTCGCTAAATCTTCTACTGCAATCTCTTTCGGTTTCTTTTTCAGATTTAATATTGCTGGAAATTATGTAAAAATTACTGTTAAACTATAACTATTCATTCAAGATAATTTAAGATTGTGGTTTTAATCCTTTAATCCGGTAATCCTTTAACGGTCATAAGCAGTGGACAGTGGAAAAACAAAATTGATGTTGGTTATTTTTCAAACCTTTCATTGTCAAACTGTCTATTGACATTTAAAAACAGTTGTCTGAATAAAAAAATACGACCGCAGGACGAAATTACGGTTTAAAAAAAATTAAATCATTATGGTGAAAATATCGCCTCTAACTTATAAAGGGTTAAGACCCGATTCTACTTACCTCTAGCAATTTTCGTATAATAATTTTGTAAGCTTGCACTTATACTGCTACTATTATTTAAACACTTTTCATCTATTATCCACTCAACAGAGACTGTTGGCAGTGTTGAGAACACATAACTTTGCGTTACCATTGAGTATTCTGATATATTTATAAGATTTTCCTGAAAAAAGTAATAATTATAGGAATAAAATGTAAAACAATAGAATGTTGCCATATATGAAATGATATAACATTAATTTTAATATCAATGGCTCCTATGTATAAGGGCCAATGTGCCAAATGTAAAGTTTTTAGTAAAGGTGTTTTAAGTTTGATTTCAATGTGTCTTTTACCTGTGACAACTGATGCTCTTGAAACTTTGCATAGCAACTATGACTTACATGAATCCATTTAAGTTTGATAAACTTTTTTGTAAACCTACTAGTTAAATATATATAATACATTATGTAAGCCCTTATATGTTAAAAAGTGTGTTACATATACTTTTTTAATGCAATAAAAACTAAGTCTTTCCACCAGCAAATACATATTCTTTAAATTGATGTCATAGAATACGGTATTAAGAAGTTTTTAAAGCAAAAAATGAAATTGGCTTAATTGCTATATTATCCCTTATACCTAGGTGATAGGACTCATTGATAGAGTTAACACAAACTTACTACTTCACAGCACACTTTTTCTTCACCCACGGCTACATACTGTAGCAAACAAGAGCCGACAACCGGGCTTGTGTCGGATAATGTAAACACAGTATTAACATCCCAACTGTCCACACACGACTTTTTCATCAACTCGCTATGAAGGGCGATTGTCTGTAATAATAATAGTAAAACCCCGTTTATTTCCAGTCTAACAATTTTAACATGCAATTAGCAATTTTAAATATAAGTATATGTATGTATATAAATTTGCTTTTTATTTCTTCTATTTGCTATCGTTACTTTTTTCAAAGAAAGGAAGGAAGAAAGAATTGTTTGCAAATATATTATAAAATATTAAATAGAATACCAATTTTTTATTAGGAAGATATTTAATTTGTCATTAAAATTATTTTAAGTAACAATATAATTTATAATACATAGTATCTTATTTTTACATAGAATAAATTTCTTTTCAGATATAGTTAAAATTATTCTATATTATGAGTCAAATGAGTTTTGTCTTACACTGATAACCTGCCGCAGCTTATAACTAACATCCTCAGCGAGGTTTGTGGCTGCCTCCGTATTAATTTCTGCTCCAATCTGCTCGGCCATGCATAGCACTGAGTCTGCTCCGACACCTGCAAACCTCCCTTGAGATGTCGCATCCTGTAATTGTATTTACAAAAATACAGGTTTAGATCAAATTTGGTAACATTATTACCATTTGTTGCCATTATTGTTTCAAATACACGTCACAAAATCTGTCAGACGTTTTAGGTCTTCAAATGACTGTGGACTTTGGGGTAGTTTCGGTAATTATTTATTTTTTAAAAGTTATGTATGGAGTCACACAAACCAAATTTGTTCTGAACTTTTTGTAATAAATAATAATCAAATTTTGAACACTGTCATAATTTTATATATTTTATTAATTATAAATGAGTAAGAATATACAAAATTTTTAATCATAGCTTGTGTTTTACATTTCAATGAAGACAAAATAAAATGAATCATATTTCAAAACAAATATTACTAATAAATATTTGTTTTCAAATATGAAACATTACTGTTTTTAACATTTCAATATTTGATAATAAGGTAATGAAAATGAAGGACTGTAAAAATAAACGAAAAAGCAAAAAATAGCTTAAAATATAGGATAAAAATTCTACAAAAATTGAAATTATCTATTTAAATTTTTGTTGTAGGTGTTTCAAATAAAATATATTAATAATGCTGACAAAAACTATCTCAATGCATTTTATTAGAGTTATAGTCATGAAAATATAAGGAAGTATAAAATTCAGTGAATTTAAGCTAAGACATAACAAAACTTAATAACATTTAATAAAAAATAATTTAAGAGGATATATTAAAAATGTATAACATGTACCTTTTCAATAAGTGGCGGCGTATCACACTGACTGGAACCGCCAGATTCTGAAGCGATGGATTTATTTTTATCACGTTCTCGACTATTGGTTTTCTTGGAATGATTCTTCGAACTTGTGGATAAGTTAGACATCATACAAAAACACTAGCATGCATATAGTGAATGCATGGCCAAGTTTAACCCTTTCGAAGCTTAGTGTGCTGTTAAATAGAACTTAGCAGATGGCATTTAAAATCCTGACGAAAACCTTATAACGCGTTATTATGATGTACAAGTGATTCTAACAAAGATATAATGTTGTTTAAAATGTCAAGCTCAAAACAGTCAGTGTCTAGATATAATGTACGTAAACCTGAAAGTGGCAACTGGAACGTCATGTGTTGTTTATTGTGACATTGACAGATAACAGATTGTAAAAGAAAGCGTTCATCGTAACGCTTTAGCATTTTTAAATCATTTGTGAAAAAGTTTATATCAAAATCTTAATACATAACTATAATAAAGATGAATTCGTGAATAAAAATATATGATAAATAAATACTTCACTTTCCGGAATTCCTTATTGTTGACAAAATGACACTTATGCAATTTTGTCTTCAATTTATATTTTTAGAGAATAGTTTATTATTTATTTATAATATTGGTCCCTTTTGGTGAGTGAGTAGGAGTGTGGTGAAAAACATTAAAGAGAGATGGAATAAATGTTTTCCAAGAGATCATTTAATAATTTCTTTCCATCTAAAATATTCAAAAATAAACAAAATATTGAGAAGTAATGCATAATATTAATTGGAAATATATAAAAAGAAAATACTTAATGTACTTACCTAAATCATTCGTGGTATTATTTTGGCAAAACCAGCTATCATTTCCCCTATTACGCGATAAATAAATATTGAACAAATGATACCTTAAAGTACACGAAAGACGCATTTAAGAAAGAATACTAATTGAATAGTCACTTATCACACTATTCCTTTTAAGTCTTACCTTTAATATGTACAATTTGACGCAAAACGAGAATACTGACGAGTTACAAATGTGGTCTTTATTTTTGGCGAAAAATGTGGAAAGTGATCCCGGTTGGATTCCAGTAATATTTATAACTATTCTTATTATAATATTCTTTGTTGGATTTACTGGAAATATTTTGACGTGCATCGTTATATATTATGAAAGGACTCTACATACTTCAACTAATTTCTATCTCTTTAATATGGCTGTTTCCGATGCATTCGCGTCGCTTGGAATCATTTTAAATGTGTTTGTATACTTTAGTGACGGATTGTTATATGGAGATATAGCTTGCAAATTGAACTTTGGTTTTGTTGTATTTTTATGGAATAACAGTATTTTAGTAATGACGATATTGTCAATTGAGAGATACATGGCCATATGCTGTCCTTTGCGAAAAAAAAGTGCACCACCATTAAAATTAATTATAAGCTTAATATGGGTTATAGCTATTTTAGAGACTGCATCAGAAATTCCAACTGTAACCTTGATCACGAGCAATTCATTTATGATATGTTATACTGTCCCAACAACATACGCAAGAATAATAAATGGCATCCTAGCCTTAGTGACATTTATTATTCCGTTGGGAATTTTAATATACGTTTATTCTATGATTGCATTTAAAGTTAACATAAGCGATAAAGTTAATGTAGAAAGAAATATGTTTAACTACAGAGGTAATGGCGGTAAAGTAAATAAACTTCTAGGTAATTATTTAGTTTTTGTATTGTTTTTTAATTAAAAATATTTTGATATTTAATAATTTTAGTAAACGTTTTTGCACACATTTTAGTGGCTATGATAGTATCATTCGTGATTTGTTGGTCACCCTGTTGCATACTACGAATACTTATATTTGGCCTAAATATAGAAAAGCTTATGGAGTTTGACGTGGTAAGTCTCATTAAGTTATAAATAAAGCAATCTGCAATAAATTTAATAACTTCAGTACCCTCCTCGCAATCCCGTTATTATTCCCTTTGTTGTTTAACTTACAAGTAATGTAATTTTATTTCCTAACTCCAATACATTATTATAATTGATATATTAATATTTTTGTTACAGATTTGGGACGTAGGTTACAGAATAGTACTCATAAATAGTTGGCTTAGTACCATTTTAAATCCCCTGCTATTTAGTCTAATGTCATCTAAATTCAGAAAAGCATTCAAGGTAAGATGTATTATAATGTTTCATATTTATTTCTATGTGCTCAAGAAAATGTTGTAAAACGCAGTAAATGAAAATTCTGGTCGAAAAAATATCTTTACCACTTGATATCATAATACGGAAGCAAATATTAATAGATGGCTCATTTAAGAAAATGGGGATTAAGGAAGATTTAACCTATAATTTAAGCTATATTTAGGCTTTTCATTGTTACTATTTCTGTTTGAAAAGACTTGGCAGTAATTAAGATTTTTTTCTTGCTACAGAATATATGGAAAGCAAAAATTCAACGACGGCCTCGTCTAGACATCGCTGTAGTATGAAAACTACACTATTTGTGAACATATGTACCTCTCTAAGCAATCCCTTTTCTTCAATGTCAAAGTGAAATAGTTAATAGAATAAAACAAAACGTATTCACGTTTGGGGTTGTATACCTAAAAGATTTGTTACGTTAACTTTTAAGTTATAAAGTATCTGTTTTATGTATATGTTAAGTACAATTAACGTAGTCGCAACCGGCAAAGGACATTGTTGAGATTTAAAAAAAAAATCACTGATTCATTTATATTTTTTACAAACTACATAATTATAGATAAGTTACGAAGGTAAAAAATTATCCATCTTTTTTATCCACTTGTGTTGACCCAGGCTTTATCACGAAATATTGACTAAGGTATAAGGTGTATGACAAACAAACATCAAAAAATAAATCAAGGTAATTTTAATTAAACAACTAACATTGCAACATTTTTTGTGGGGCCCAATTATTCGAAGGGCAAGACAAATGTTATAAATTCAAAAGGACCAACTAATTGTTGACTTAAACTTAATGTAATATTTATATATTATTAAAACTATTCAAAATATGTATAAATTTTCATCCTTTAACACTTTTCCAATTAATCACTTCCAAAAAATAGCTCTGATCTTTTGATATTTACTTAATACGTTATCTAATCCTATGGAGTCATAAATACTAAAAGATTAAGACACCCTCACAATATACCAGCAATGTTCAAACAGGATTATACTAGTTAAATATCAATAAGAATATAACTATTCCCTGTTTTTAAACTTCACATAAATAGGATGAGTTGGGCGCAGCACGAGGTCTGTCCTGAATCGCAGTTCTGAAGGTTTTGTTACAGGCTCTATGTGGAATTGTCTTATTAAACTTGATAAAACCGTTTTCATTTCGAGCATCGCAAACTTTTGTCCTGGAAATACGATCATAACATTTTAGATCTAACAGTTACATTACTGTATTTGAAAACTATCTCGATGTTTATCTAAATGTATTTTAAATAAATCAACATTAATTTGAACTCCATAATAAAGAAAGTTATAATTAAGTGTTAAGTTATTTTCAAATAAATATAATACTGCATTTTTTATTAAAAACGCTAAACATCGGCAACCATAATGACTTATATTTATTCATCTATTCCACTATATATACTTTTCACTTTCAATATTTTAGAGTAACAAAGAATTCTTGCCATTGTCCATGCCAATATACGATTACGTACCTATACAATTTCTGGAACCAGCACTAAAAGGGATGTATGCGTATGGATGCCTGTTCAGACAGTTCTCTGGCAAGAATCTTTCCGGAATAAATCTCTCAGGATCAGGGAAGAGATCAGGACGTCTGTGTAAATCGTATATAAATAAATGCACAAAAGTATTTGCTGGGACTGTATATCCACCTGAAAACAAATATTTTATAATTAATTTCTTATGACACAAAAATTTAAACATGGATTCTGTAATGATTAATTATGATTGGATACTGACTATTGATATTAATAACGTTCATATTTTGAATATTGCACATTAATTTATTTGCAATATGGTTACATGTTTTATTCGAAATAAAAATCAACTGTTGTTTAAACTGTGACAGCAAAGTAAAATGCAAAAAAAGTCTAAGTGACTTGATTTATATAAACATTTATTCATGATCATTATTACTAAACTTCAAGTAAGTGCATAGTATCTATATTAAAATAATCGTAAATAAAATGTTTATTAATATTAATTTTCATACATACATTATTTTACTCTTTTATCAAACCATAAAATGCTTTTATGTGATAATAAATCTTAAAAGAAGACTTTGTTGTATAAACAAACAAAGGTCATATTGATGAAATGTTCTAAAAATAGCTCATTCTTTTATCTAACTAATAGTATAACGTAGTAATGATAAAAATTGGGAGAATTGTAGCTTCAACATCAGAATAAGGCAGTCAATGATATATCTGGGAGGGGTGTTTAGACAGGATAAAAGTACCTACTGTGTACGTGATGGAGACTAGAAATGATGTCATAGTTTTTCTAACATATGTATTATTTTAAAATACATTAAATTAAATTTCCAACAGATCGAAAATCCGTAAAGAGCAAATGAACTCCATTCGGAGGACTGATTTTGACAGATCTCGATTTCAGACAAACTTATGTAGAAGTCTATTTTGTTCTATTCGCAAGGAATATGTGTATGGTTAGTGTTAAAGCAATCATGTTGTCGGTTGCTGATAAGCTAATTCTCTTTCAAACAGGTCAAAACCTACAACCTTGATAAAACGCCTTATCACCTTGAGAGTAAGGACGTTAGACCAAAAATTCTGTAATAGAATAACATATTAGGTATATAATGAGACAAAGAATATGAATAAAAAATTTAAAAGAATCATATCATAAAATTCAATTCAAGAGCGATATTATTGGTAAATCTCTTATCCTTCATGAATGGACAAAGAAAGCGAAACACAATAAAACCTTTAGAGGTCTCCGTATAGCTCACGTTAGGGTAGTGTTACGTTACTGTTTCTGGATAAGAATGTCTTGTTCTATATTATCAGCATAAGTAGCATGACTAGGACATATATAACAAAAATGTATTCACTAATTTAGACGGATACCAAAAAAGGTTGCCCTCTGTAAAAGTTATTTCTTATCAATCTTACGAACTGGTTAGTTTCGGCTCTAAAGTTTTTTTCGTGGTAGAGTGCAAAAGGTGCTCGGGTTGATAATGATTCTTTGATAAGTTGTTCCTTTACTTTTTACATTTATTGAGTTTTTGCAGGTATTTTATGAATTTCGAAATTTTTTCGTTTAGATTAAAAAAAATAATGTTTACTAATTTAAAACATCTGCTTTGAAAGCTCTTTTTATCTTCGTAACCATTTCGCTGTTTCTGCCTTCTGGATAAAAAGTAATTTGGCAGTGCAAGCTCCCCTACTCCGTTTAGTCTATACTCGATAGTCATGTATTGTACCTTTAGAAAATCTAAGGGAGTATGATAATCGAAGATCCTGATACGAGTTTGTTTTTCTATTGCTTCTCTTTTAATCACACTATTGTGATAAACATCTTGAACACGAACGCTTTTTAGTCACTAGATCAGTACTGAACCGATTAAACCAACGCTATGTTATATGCTCATTAATTGTCTCTTTCCCTTCAATTTTACATATCTTTCTTGCGTACTCTTCTATTTTATTCCTTTTTTTAATAATAACGTATTAAATATACTTTGATTTCAAATATATCTCACTACATACTACGTATTATAAAAACAAATTGCGTCGTCAATAATTAAAGAGAGAATGACTAAAAGAATGTAAAACAATTGTACTTTTCATAAAATTTGAGTTACGGATTATTTAAATTTAGGAGTAGGAATTGTCATATATATATATATATATATATATATATATATATATATATATATATATATATATATATAAATTGACATTATTTATGAGACACCCTCTATAATTAAATCAGGAAAGTAGTTAAAATAGTTATATGGCAAGTCATCTAAATACTACTGATTAAGATGACTTGCGACAACTATGGAATATTTTAATAGCGCTTGACAACCGTAAACTCCAATAGGTTAGGATCCTTTCATTGCAATCACAGAATATTTTCACTGTCATATAAGCAAAACACGACATGAAATGTGTACTTAAAGCTACTATAAGTATACCCTGGGATTGTTGAATTGGTCTCTAATTACTTCTTTCAGACAATAATTCTTTAACAATATTTTACAATATTTTGACATTGAAATTGAATATAGTTAAGATATTTACATGAAAAACCTTACTTACTTAATACAGTATCCTGAGTCAGATTTCGAGCTATGAATGGCACACTAGGATAGAGTCGTAATGATTCCTTAATACAGCACTCCAAATATCTCATCTCATTTAAATCAGCCATTGTTGCTAAACGTTTAGAATCACCAAATATTTGCTCCATTTCTTCATATATTTTTTGCTGTGAAATTTAGACCAGAGAAAGTTAGTAAACTCAAGAAATAAAAGTATAGCATAGTAGTATGACAAAAAAAGTTTTTTACTTGAATTTCGGGTTCATTTGCTATTGCCATAATAAAGTAGGATAACGCCATGGCTGTAGTGTCGTGGCCCTGAAAAATGGTTTTATTTTTATAACAGATTCTTATTATGTCTTACTTGAGATAAGTTCTCAAAACAATAAAATCGTACCTCAAACATAAACGTATCCACTTCTTCTCTTATGCTTTCCAAATCAATATTTCCAGTTTTTTCATTTTCAAGAAGAAGATCTAACATCGTCAATTTCCCCTTTGAATTATCATACTCATCGCTATCAATGTACTTAGTAACATCAAAATTCTTTATAAATTCTTTCCTGTCGGCTATTATTTTATTGGTGAACGTATGCAATTCTTTCAAAGCTGTTTCTTGTTCTTTTGCAGTTTTTGTCAATTTAAAGCAAGGATCAAAATAAAGCCACACTCTGCATATTCTTTCAACAACAGCTTCGCCAACCGTGTGTATGGATTTAAAATATTTTTGAGTTATTGTTTGAATACCCTCACTCCTTGTGGCAGGTATAGCGGTTTCTTTAAAAGTGAAAAGTAATTATGCCATTATTAAAGTGGGACATATATAATGAATTTCACAGTAATTACCTAATAGCAAAATTATTTTAAAGAACTTTCAAAAGTGTAGTTTATTGGTAGGTTAGATACTAACCACACATAATATGTAATGTTGCCGAACATATCAGTGGCAAGATATCAGTTTTGGATTTTTTCGTCTCTTCATGTACCTTCTTAATAAATTCTTGTGTTTGTTCAGTAAAGGTCGCGGAATATTTTTTTAATATATTGAAATGGAATGCTTTCGTTAACAGCTTTCTTCTTTGGTGCCACTTCAGGCCTAAAATAATATTTCATGCAATCACATGGTAAAAATCATTTGGTATATAATAAATAATATTTGGTAATAAAATAATTTTCAAAATATCAGAAATTAAAATAAATAATTTCCTACTGACATGTATGTATGTATTTTCTAGACGATGCTTACCATTGCTCGTTAGAAGTCCCTCCCCTAGCCATGGCTTAAGAAAAGTATACGGTAATTGTTTATCGTTATGTTTAGTCGAAGACAATATGACCTGCAATGGATATGGTAGAAAATAGACTGTATTTAATTACTTTATATTAAAAAGTTCACTTAATCGGTTTTTTCTATCGTATATAAATTCTTGTGTCCTCGATAGGATTTGGGTTATCTTGCAAAAAAATATAAATATTTATTTTTTTATAGCACTGAGAAAACATTAATAAGTAAACTATAACAAATTGATGAAGAAAAATCAAACTTATGTGGCGTAATTTTTTTTTAAAGTAATTTATTGTCAAACAGAAATAGAACTAGAAAAAGATACTCTAGCGACTAGGATAAACTGCTCTGTTTTCAATGAATTAAATGAATGTTAAAGAAATACCTGTACATAAATGACATAAATACAGATGAAATTGGTAGTAATTGCTAGTCGACGTAATTAATAACAGCTGCGTAATAAAACGTTAACATAAAAACAAGCATTATATGGGTATATAATTAAAAGTTTAAAACGAGTATAATAGCATCATAATTTGAATAGATGATACATAAAAGGTATGATGCACAAAACATATTTCCGTATAGCTGATTTTTATGTATCACTTACATTCTATTATATACTTAAAACACAGCCGAATTTCATGATAAAGAGTTTGGATGAGAGCATGAGGTCACCTTTACATTAGCAACGTATTTTAGCAGTTAACCTTTAAGAGGGTCAATTTTTGTCTTTTATATTATAATACAAATCTATTAGAGTGGTCATCATCATGGCCATAAAAAATAATTGAGTCAAAAGATAAACGAAGGATGTTATAAGTACAAAAAAATAATGGCACAAAAACGAGACCAATCATATATCAGGTTTCAGGTAGCAAGTACCATTCCTTAGTATTATATATTTATTTATTTCCAATTTTACGTAGTTAAAAAATAATTAAATATAAATATACTTTAATTTTATTGACTGACCATCCTGCGAACACGATATCTTATTATCATTCTTTTTATACACACGCAATAACCACAGGAATATACAGGGTGACTGGTGAATTACTATCAATATTTAAGGAGAATACTCGGTACATGATTCTCATTCGAATTATGTAAAAAAAATAGGCACTTTATTTTTGACAAAATTTCCGGATAAATAAATAAAGTGTTGACACGTTCCAAGTGTTCCAAGTGTGGACGCGTGCGGCGGTTTGCTGATACAACACTACGCCGCCAAACGCGTATGTGTGAGTGTGTGTGTATACCTAATCTGTAGGGTGTTCACTCGATGCGTAATTAATTACATAACTTTTGGTTAACTTTACTTAGAAGTTTATTAATACATATTTATGTTATATTAATTTTTATTTTGTCATATATGATCGTCAAATATCACGTCCTCAAGTATCGATAGTAATTCACCAGTCACCCTGTAGATGATAAACTTCCAACTCAGGTCAACATTTTTTTATATTTTATTATCTTTATAATACTTATTTGAAAAATATTACAACATATGGTCCATTCGGTTAAAGAGATAACTACAAAATGTATGCAATAAATCTTTAATTTGATCCTAAAATTTACTGTCATTGAAAACATTGTTTTTTTATCACTAATAATATATTTATTAATTTGAACTCTCAATAAATTACTTTTAAAAATGACAGCAATTTCTGCTTACATATGGTAGTAAAATAACATATGTAATCATTTTAAGTTTTGAATTCTTAAAATACTAGGATATTACAGTTAAATGAAATGGTAGATTTAAAAATTTTACGCCGTTTTGAATAAACTTTAGATGAAGATAATTTTAGATACGTACGTACGGATCAGCTGTTGATTATTATAATTTTATAAATTCCCTTATATTAATTTAGGCAGATATTTTAATTTTTTACCTCCATGTCTTCAGGGCTAAAAACATTAACCGCTTGCACGGAAATGGCATGTACTTGATTTAGGTCTCCATAGGTCTTTGGTAATGTTCGGAGATATAAGAAAAGGTTTTCTAAAAATAAAATTGTAAAAATTATAAATGTGAATCATACTCATTAAACGCAGTATTCAAACACATATAATCTGATCTAGACGGGTCTAAGTACATAATAACATTTGTATAAGTTGTACTTACCAGGAGATAAAATATAAGAAACAGTGTTTCCAATAATAGGGTAACTTTTAGGTCCAGGAATCTTTCTAATAAGTCGTTTTGTTCTACTCATGTAATCATGGAGCACTATCAATAAAATGATTGTTGCTAATATTAAAGACAAAAAAAACATGTTGACGATAAGACGGTTCAAAGCAAATTGATTGTTTATAACTAACTATCCTAGGCAAAATTGAAGTTGACTGGAGTTACCATTTTTTTTATTGACATTTATGTTGAAACAATTCAAATGTGGTTTTTTTTATACGTGTTAATTTTTTGTTTATTTGATTATATCAAATTTAAGAGGAATAATTATATGTTTCTTTTGAGTAATTTTGTAAAAAAAAATGAAGTATAAATAGAGGTAAAATATAATCGCATATTATGATTTTTAGGACACAAAAAAGACTTCTAAAATATGTGTTTCCTTGTCCACAAAATAATTCGTCTAAATCTACAGTAAGAATATCTTGCGAAGTGAATCATGATCATCCAATAAACAAAGCCACAACTAAAATATTCTTGTGATGATAACAAGATGATTAAAGATGAGATGAGATGAAGATGCTCTTTTTCGTGAACAAAGCTGTTGTAATTCTAACCTCCTTACCGTAGCGCCTAAAAAAACGAAATCTTGAAAACTCATAAATAAATAAATTGGCCTTTTATGTTGCATTTATTTCTTTTGAATATTAAAATTTTTATAAGCTGAATTAAATTAAACTTCATACATACATGCCCAAAGCATCCAATATTCAATATACAATTTAGTACTCTGACTTATTTCAAATGTTGCTTGTGTCATACGTTGAAGCTACCTCAGACGAAGAAACATTTACAAATGCTAAATATGTATTTATAGGAAGAGATTGTCTACGACGATCCAAATTTTCAGAGGATCGTAGTCGTTGAAGTATCATAGATTTAATGGTTATCGTATGATTACCACATAAGAGCCTCGGTCTCCCCTAGACGGAGGGGTAGGTATAATTACTATCATCGCGTTAACAAAAAAAAAAATGACCCAGGACCGTAAAAAGCACGCCATGTCCTGACGTGTTAGAAAAATAAAGTTTTTTTTTGTAATATTTCAAGGAGCGTTGTGCTATATATATTAAACGATTTCTTTTGCAACATGTAACGCCCCTGCTAGCGTATCTTTGATTGATCAAACTCCTAGCTAAAGAAACAAAACAGCAATAATGTCGTTCACAGCATATTCCATAAACTTAGCGAGAATAGCCTGTTATCATCTGTTTGACTAAATAAAGGCGGTTTCAAAGGAGCAGCAGCAAAGAGATCACTTTTTCTTTTAACTAACCTAATATTTTTACATAAACTCTACAAAACTGGTACTTACTACTCTTGTTTCAAGTTTATAATCTTATATCAAGATATCTAAGTGCATTTTAATATTACATGTTTATAAGAACTTTATGGAATAAAATAAAGAGGGGACAAAGTTTTAATTCGGGAAATGGTTTGCGTTTCATTTTTTTAAATCATTTGTATTCGTTTAATCAGTTAATACATTAGTTTTGAGGATAAACAATATACTTAAGAAAAAGGAATGGTCCTTAAACAAAATATAAGAATATCATAAAAAAATATTAAAGTGGTTCATTATTCCAAATAAGATGTTATGAGATTTAAAAAAAAAGAACACTTGTACACTCTTTATGACTTGTAAATAACTGACATATTAAATTATTAACGAAATGCATATCTTTTTATTTATTAAACATAATAAGGTTCATACATTAAAAAAAAATTCTTCATTTTACTCGTTTAACATTTATCGAAACGTATTTCTGGAAAGTCAAACTTGGCAGCGTGTTTTGGTATTAAGGGGGCAAAAATTTCTGTTCCCCATCTTCTTATACTTCCGGCATTCACACTTTGCGCAAACTGAAATAGTTTAGATTTTTGTACGATTTCTACTCATTGATTAATACTAGATATTCAAAATGCATTTTATAAAAACAACAAAGTAAGAGACAAAATCTAAAGCAAATTAAAAGCAAAGAGAAGACGGTGGAATAAATAAACAATTGGACATCAAATTGGGTCATAATCCAAAATAAAACGTCCACTTGTGAAAAAACAAACATAAATTAAGAAATGCATGAAGGAAATTATTTTTCTATTGGATTTTAAATACATTTTTTTTGAGATACCTATGTGATATATCATCTTTTTGGCATCTGAAAATTAAATTAGTCGTTTAAAATAAAAGTGAATCTGGTGTGAGGGAGAAGGAAGAGTCAAGCAACAGCTAACTTCATTAATGTATGTCCTCTTGGTATCCTAGTGACATGTAAGTTTCATGTTAAAATTTTGCATTTTTTCAATACATACTTGTCTTGATAAAACTTCCGTTATATTGCTCTTTGGCAAGTAAGCATTTCTTATATCTCGAGGTCTAGGTATGGAAACAATTCCGGCGTCAGATGTTGTTTCATTTGTGAGTAAATTATGATTCAACTGCAAAACATTAAAATATGTGTTTGAAACAATGTAAAGGTAAAAAACTTTATAAAAATTCAAGCTTTTATGAATGTCACTGAAAAATAAACAAAAAACTGTCTACTACTTATTCAAATATAAATATAACGTTACGTTTCATTTACTTTACAGCAACCGTGATGACGGGTAGACGGGATGTATGTAAATATAAGATATGTAATGACGATATAAGTGAATGTCAAAAATAAAAAATACATTTTTGATCCACTCAATGAATAGCTGTTCTTTTTAATCAATTACATTGATTGATTGATCGTGCAAGTATTCGTAGTAATTTTAGTCAGTCCATTTATTTAAATCTTTATTGTAGAAAAATTTTATTCAACTAGTTCCTCCTCTTCGATTTGTTACCACGTAGGATTAAGACTGACAGCACAAAAGTAACCAAAGTAACAAAGTAACAAAGTAACCAAGCAACAAAGAATTGTCATTCAAACTGAACATTGAACATGTCATCTTCAGAAGTTGAAAGTATGTACGTGTTTCAAAATAGTTGCATGATTTCAATTAAACAGCGTACGCACAAATAAACGTCCATAGTTACATACATTGCAAATTATATAGAAAAATATTAAAATATAATTTTATTACTATGATAATTTCGTACCCTCAAAAGCAATGTCGTCGTACCGTACTCGTGTACAGAGGTGAAGTGATGTTCTCCAGAATCTTCGAAATTGGTTTTAACATCGAAACCAACTTTTAAATCGGAAAGTCTAAGTGTTCCCTCCATGAAAACATTACCATATTCACTACCGTTTTCATTTATAGTAGAGAATATTGTTCTTATATTTAATACACTAAGATCTTGAACAGAAATCGTAAAACCATTCGTATAGTTCACTGGACCAAGAACTCGCCAATTGTAATAGCTTGTACTGAAAAAAAAGTGCTGTATTAAAAAAAAAAACAAAACAAAAAATTCATTGCTAAAAAAAATTACTTCACGAATTGATTTATATCGTCCAATTTCAAGTTGCACCAATGGATCTCGTTTTCAATTTCCTTCACAACCTCCTGTATTATACCGGTGAAATAGCTTGTGCCATTAACTAAGCACGCCATAGAAGCTAAAAGGTATTTAATTAAAAATAAATAATTAAAAACAGCAAAGTGTAAAAATGTTCATTAGCAAAACTTACCCCAATTAACATTGGTGCTACGGCATGGCAAAAAGGATGCGAAGATTAAAAAAACAAATAAGTATTTTCTCATGATAAAAAGTCTCCAACGCGTAATACTTCATAAAAGGTTCTTATGAAAACGATATACGATATCGTTCTAATTTTGGATAAAGCTTATTTTAATCTATAATTATTATTATCAGTATGATAAATGATTTGTCTGATTGTTGATAAGATCTTAATTAACAATTAAACATATTTATGTTGACTTTGAATTCGCTCGTATATGCAAATATTTTTTATTCAAATTGTTTGTAAAATTCATATTGCTGTAAAATTAAGACTTTTACATAATCTTGAAACATGACCACAAGTCATATATTTTATTGTTTTTATTTTTCTCTTTTGGCAACAGTTATTATAATTATTTATTCTATTCGATGTTTAAAGTAATAATGAACCATTATTACTAATTTAAAAATAGATAAGAAAGTAGATTTCTTTCAATATTTTTTTGATAAGATTCAATTTTTTTTGATATATCACTTTATTTTGATTTATATCATTCTTTTTTTTCTAAATATAGGGAACAAGACATCCATCCCCACTCTTTCAAAAAAGATAGTATCAAGTGTCTGTATGGAAAATAAGATATATAGTTTATCAATAAACTTGAAGTCACCTTTAAATTAATTATTATCATTTATTGCAATATTTGTATACACGAGGACCATATGAAATTAGATTTTTATATTTGGTTTTAAAATACTCTTTATTTTATAATGGACAGTCGTAGCAAATTTTTGGAAAAGGTATAACTGTATCCACAACTTCTTGAGTGATAGGTATAAAAATTTTCGCAGCCCATTCAGCAACACTCTTCGATATAAAGTTCCAATTATACTGAAAATATATGTTCTAATTACAAATTAAGCTTCCTTTAAAATACGTCAATAATTTTACTGCCAAAATTAAATCATTATCACTTATGGTGCTCTTAGTAAATAGAATAAAAAACTTACTAAAGGAGGCAATAGTTTTGTGAAACTATTCTCTGGTAACAGTGTCAACGAAGTTCTAGGATTGATCACGACACTAACAACATTCGTTGAAATTTTATCTCTAAATAGATTTTTAGATATCTGAAAACAAAAAGGTAAATGAAAAAATTCTCATTATATATTTGAAAATCACATTTTGATACAGTTGAACTTAATAAGAATGTGTAATGAAAGAAAAAAAGTTGCTCACAGTAAATGAAAACTGTGTCTCTGGGTAAATAATTGTTGCTGTCGAGATATGTTTTCCTTCTGCAGTAGTAATCTCTAGGTCAAAACCAATTTCCATATTAATGAAACGCAGAGTTGATCGGATTTCAACAATTCCAGGAGTTGCTGACGGCCATACTTGTTGAACAGTATGTTGAATCAAATCCCAGCTTTGAATTGATGTAACAAATCCATTCTTCAACTTGGCCTCTCCTACAAATCTTTCACCGAGTACAGTCTGACTGAAATAATAATTATCATTGGAACATTCTTTAATTGTATAAGAATATATAGAGAGAATTGATTTGATTTTTAATTAATCTACTAACTTAATAGTAATAGATAATTCTTCAATCTTCAAATTATAAAAACCGAGTCTTTCCACCCGTTTCACAGTTTCTTGTATTACGGAGATGACATAATCTGTGTGGTTTAGTAGGCGCACTCGACTATCTAAAAAATATATATTATTTAGTGTAATTTTATTACAAATTGTCCTTCAAGATAAACATCTTCTCTTATTTTTTACTTTATAAAGGATAATAAGTACTTGTTCCTCAATATCATCCATTTTACGTAATAAAACCACCTAATCCTTATTCATATTAAGTTTCCAACATGAAGAGATCAATATATGGTATAATTATGTGTGGACGATATTTAGAAAAAAAAACAGACATACCTGATTCCACCTCTAATAAAACATTTGATAGAAGTACTAGACACAGGATGAGCATCATTTTGTTTAAATTTATTTATAGAAATAAATTTAAACAACTAGCATACCGGTATAATAAATATCTTGCACACAAATAATAATCTTCAAGTGTTATCATAATTTTCATTACGTTTTATCGTGGCTGGTACAAGTTAACATCTTCGGCTTGATATCGATATTTTCAATGTTATTCAAACAGACCAATATCTTTTCAACGCATTTTAGCCACCAAGTTTTCGGATTCCGTAGTAAATATTTTTAGTCATATAAATCTATAAATGAATAAATTTATTGTTGTTCCATTAAAATATGTAAAAAAATATATCACTTTCGTATGTTATGTACATTGCAGTCAAAATAATCAATGATACGAACCTATTGCAATTTTATATAATAAATATAATTTATATATTATGATTGCAAATTATTTGATAATAATAGATAATAATCTAATGTAAATTTATGTACCGAACATATTTATATGTCAGTATTCAGAATAATTTTGTGGACCGTTTTGCCTGTTTTTAAAATTCAAGAAAACTTTTAGAGCGATTCTATAAATGCTCTTACAACTCATTACAAAATATTTTCATTATATTATTCGTTACTTAATTATATATATGAATATTTCCACCAAACAATCCTGTACTTAATATTCTTAACCTATTTCATTGTTAAACTGAATACTTATATTGGTTAAATTAATACTTTTATTCGTTCAATATAAAATTATATTAAAGTTTAAAGTGTTTCATATTAAACAAAATACAGATATAAAGATAATTCAGTCATTTAATAATGAAATAAAAACCATTATAAAAAAAAATATACAAATATTTACACTAAACATATCTTTAGTTTTTATTAACATGGGGCTTGTTATCAATCTTGAAAAAAAATTGGATGAAATACTACCTGACATTATTAAAGCTGGCCATAAATATAGTTATTGTTATAATTTTTCACTTCTTTCAAATAAATATTTACAAATTATTTTTTATTAATTTCAAATCTGTCATTTTCATAGGATTATCCCCTATTGTTTGTTATTTTGTGCTAATATACTGTATCATGTTTTGTGATCATTTTAAAACAATGTTTTTAACGTTACGCTTGGTCGATATCCTTATTTAGTTGTTGTAACAGAGATGAAACTTCTCAATCCCATCAAAACATCCGATGGATTTACCGTGTGGGTGCCGGATCCATCGCGTTGCAGAGAGAGGAGCTTCAACAGTGACTGGGACTTGCGACCCAGGTGTAGATTTAGGGGCCCTTATCTAACGAACGTTAAACGCTCACCTCCACTGTACAAGCTCCTCTCCCTACCTAACCAAATTAAAGAATGTACTTAATATAAAGAATGTACTGAACTAAATTAAATTTTTAAAATCGTCCATAGTATGGTTGTGTATCAGATATTGATAGGTATAATGAGATCGCTTCCGTTTTTGACAGAGGATCTGGCAAAAGTTTTGTTTATGCATGATTTTTTTTGTTACTCGGCAATACTTCTTTAATAAAATTAAATTCATTGGTTTATCTTTTAAATAGGTAATATTCATGCGTTTGTAGTTAAGCACCACTACAACAAAATTACTAAATAACAAATAATGGTCTTTTCAGCCGACCTTAGCTTTAGGTCATAAAGCTCAATCCTTCTAAGCTTGGTTACTAACGAACGTCCAAAATTTCATTAGAACTAAAGACTGCCCATCGTGTAGACTTGATCTTAATCCACTGGATTATGATTGAAAAAGGTTCGCACTACAAACCATGATAATACGGATTCCCTACGATTTTCCAAGCAATTATCAATGAAAGTTTATCCCATGGAAACACTACTAGCTGTTCTTGATTTCTGCCTTCGACTTCGTATTTTTTTGAATACAGTATAATAGTAAAATGTTGTATACTCGTAAAATAAAAGATATCTTCGTAACGATATTTATGGCAAGGGTATAAACCAAGTTAATACCTAAGTACATATATATATATAAATATAATGTGTTCCAAATTATTAAATCGATTGTAGCTTAGAAAGATAATACAGTACACAAATTAAATGTTAAATTCTCAGTGGTATACAAGAAAATGCACTAATTTAACAAAACAATATTAAATTTTTCCAGATTCTACTAATTCTTTTAATCTATACTTTTGTATTTTCCCAGACGTTGTTTTCGGAAATTCTTGAGTAATTTTAAGTATTTTAGGAATTTTAAACGTAGCTAGTTTTCCCATAAAGTGTTTCTTTAAATCATTAGATGTAAATGTTGCATTCTCTCGGATTCTGACTACGGCACAAAGTTCTTCTCCAAGTCTTTCGTCCGAAACACCGATCACCTGTAATAATTTATAAGAAAACAAATGAAACAGAACAAAAAAGGATCTATGGTTTGTTTTATTTCTTTGGCTCCTAAGGGTTACAGCTGAAATTTTTCCAAAAACTATTGAATTTAGGATAAAAAGAAAATTATAATGACAAAACTATGATAGACAGAATTTTTAAGAATATGTTTATTTAAATTTATTAAATTAGGATAACTTAGCAAAAATATTTTTTTTCAATCATTGATTAAAAACAAATTCACAAAGCATTTGACGCTACCTGCTTCACGTCAAGTTTTCTACACAGCTAGTAATTATACTAGTTTTATGGAAGATTCAATATATTCAGCTCAATTTCTTGTGTGGGACAATTAGTCATTTTTTTTATTAGCAATTTGCACATCTACATATAAATGTAGGTGTTGCATAATTTATGAAAAGTTTTTTTATAGATAAACGTCCCAACATCATATATTGATAAAATGATTTACAAAAAAAAGTTCACCTGACTCTCTATGACGTCTGGATGCGTGTTCAAACAGTCTTCAATTTCTTTGGGAGCAATATTTTCTCCACCTCTAACAATTATATCTTTTGCACGGCCAACTATTTTTCCGTAACCATCTGGATTTATTGTGAATATATCACTGAAAATAATATCAATATTATTATAGATTTCATTTCTGTCTTGTTGAGAATTTTTCTTTTACTTATTGATTAAAGAAAAATTAATAAGTTTAGGCCTACTATAAACATTATTCGAAATATATAAAAAAATTATATCCTGTTAATTCCTTAGAGCTGTTTTATCTCATCAATTGCCTATTTTATGAGAAACAGCGTTTTTAAATTTATATTTGCGATTTTTAAAAAGTTACTTTGAAAATTAAAATAACACGTTTGAGAAGACAAAAATTTGTCACATCCCCATATCCCATTTACACAAGAATCATCATCATCAATCATCTCACTAAAGTCTTAGAAGGTAAACTTATACCGTAAATAAATTACCCAGTATGAAGCCAACCATCTTCTGCTATCGTCTCTTTAGTTTTCTCCGGATCATCCAAATAGCAAATCATGTTATTGTACCCTTTAACCATCAATTCTCCTGAGCATCCAAACGGAACAATATTATTATTACTATCTACCACCTATTTATAACAAGAGATTATGAGAAATATTATCATAATGACAATAACATGGACAAAGGCTTATTATATTAAAGTATTATAAAACTAAATACCTTAAGTTCCACATGGTCAGTTATATATCCAACAGTTTGGGAAACCGTATTCACGTCATCAGTAGCCAATGATTGAAATACACAAGCAGTGGTTTCAGTTAATCCATAAAGAGCCTAGAAAAATCCAAAACTGGTATTAGACAATAATAGTGACACAAAAAAATATATATTTGTTCTGGAATTCAAAAGAGTCAATTCCTCTAATTATAAATGGTTCTAATTTTAGATGTCAAGTAAATACCGACACACTTGATAAAGTAAGTTTCTGTAAATTTAATTCAAAAAAAAGTTAAGATCATTTTACATTTTTTCAAAATACTGAAGTGAAGTCTTGTATAGCCTTACCATTAATTTCAACTACGTAATATCGAGGATAATTTTCATACCTAGCCACAGTAGGAATGAGATGAAAAGGTCACGATAGTGGTAGATTGAATAATAATTGATCGTAATTAATAATTGACGGATGACGGAAGAAAGGAACGGTGTTCTATATAAAAACATTATATATCTCCATGCTAACTCCTTCATCACTATATTCAGTGGCTCAAGTTTTGACGTCTAGCGTTAATAATGCATGTTACAAAATAGTCTTGTCAATTATTCGGTAACTTAATATTTCTCGTACTCACTCTAACTGATTTACATTTTAATTGGTCTTTTATTCGATGAATTAGTTCGGGACTGCATGGTGCTCCAGCTGCTAGTGCCATATTTAAGTTTATAGGTAAATCGCCCTTGCCCTTCATTATCGACAAAATATCCACGTACATCGTTGGAGTTCCTGTTATAGCAGTGCACCTGTAAAGAATTTTTTGTATTCCATTATTGAAAAGAAGCAATTTTAGATTTTAAGGATTATTACTTTACCACATATAACTATTTTTGTATCATAACATATATGTACATGCTGTATAGTGATTTATCTAATCTTAAAACTTACTTTTCAGCACAAATTGCATGTAAACTAGCTGACGGGCTGTATGCTGGAGAAGCGAGTATGACCGTCGCTCCATGTTGTAGACAGGACAGCAACGTTACTATGGATCCTAATGCGTGGAATAATGGGGCCTGTAACATGTCCAAGCGGATTTATTCCTACAATAATTATTTTATGTTATGTATAGATTATATTATTTCGAAAAATATATTATTTTCACTTTTTAAATGAAATGCTTAATTAATTTTACAAGTCATGAAGAATTCTCAAGCATTACTTATAAAAGTATCACTCCCGACTAGGAAGAGATGTTTGAAAAAACCTTAACTCATGCAAAACCGTAAGTTTCTATATTTAAGTGCCTTTACAGATTGTGCAAATAGACAAAGTCTTTGTTAAAATGTAATCATTATTAAATTAATACAAAAATTAACACTTTTTTGACAATTAAGCATAACTCGGAGATCGTAAAATTTTATGACGTAATACTAAATTGTGAGTAGAAAATTTCAAATTTATTGAAAAATATGAATATGACTTTAATTACTTTTGTTTAAATTTCAATAACCCTAAAATATTCACATAATTTTGAAAGAACTGACACTATTACACTGCGGGAATGATAAAAACCAATTATAGCTAAGAACTACCCCCGGAAAACAGACTTTCTAATGAAAAAAACCTTTTTGAAATCGACATACGTCAATATGACAGCTAAGACAAACACACTCAGACATCAGGGTCAAACACTCTTTTTTTGTAACGGAAATAAAAAAATAAAATCCCCTTTATCTACTTAACTACCTATGTTTAACTTAAATCAAAAGAAATTAGGCACTGAAACGGTATCAGTGAAAATTTCGTTGAACCTGAAGTAATAAATTTTGAACTTCCAAGTTCCCTTATGTAATTCTTCAAAACCAAATATAAATTTAACTGTTATCTTTATCAAAATTATTTATTTCGTTATTGCAGATCGCAATCTTTAAACCTTAACATATACCTATAAAAAAGGTATCGTCCCATTTTTTTATTTTTACCACTCGAGACTGGTATTTTTAAATTGTGTTGAACGAATCCAATTTCTTTGTTCCACGACTTCAAAGAACTAACCTGAATACAAACGATTTGATGCCCAAGATTGAATTCATTCCTTATTCCACTGAAATAGGTGTTATTTACGATTGCTAGTTCAGAATCTAAGGCTGCTTTTGGTTTGCCTGTAAAAGAACAATTTCGATTTGATTAAATTATAGAAATGGAATATTTACACATAATTACATAACAACGAATGGAAATAATTAAGGAATCAAATAAAGTCAAAACATCAGTCGACTTTTCAAGTGCTTCCTTCATTGATAATAATATGTAGTTTTATCGTAGTTAAAAAAAAAAGAAATTTAAAACTTGATATCTCTAAGAATTAGAGTTAGCAAAATATAAACTCGAGTGACATGTAACCGTATCATGGCAGTAATGCATATATTCTTTCTTTGAGTTTTCCTCTTTTTTTCTTTTTTGGTGTATGGACTTGATAAAATTTTCCTACTTGACCACCTTTTTGATTGGATAGGTTGTTCATTTAACGTTATTTCCTCTTTGAGCCTTTACACGACATAGTAGTACATAAAACATCTAGCTAAGTTTTAAATAGATATTATAAAATAATAAAGTCGTTTTTTTTTTATTTCTGTAGTAGAAATTCACGTACCAGTAGATCCAGATGTAAGTAGCACCAAAGCACCATCTTCTGATTTAATTTCGCTGCTATATTTTGATATTGAATTATTATTTTTATGTTCCTTTATTAAAGAATCCATGGTTAAAATTCCACTGTAAATATATGAAAAACGTTTTATTCTTATTAAAAATTTAAAAAATAATAAAGACATTTACATATATTCTTAATATGTAGGCACGTATGTATGTAGGCCTATAAATAAAGTATATTTGTACATATGTATGGATGTTTATAAGTTTACATATTTCATCTTAATTGGGCAAGCAATTAAAGATATAAAAAAGCCAAAATAGTGCAAGTTCAGGGAAATATTTTCAGGGAATATTTTCAAATTAATTACATTAATATTTGATGTTAAAATGTAAATACTAGACATACTATATCACAAAAAAGTGTGATAAGAATATCTAAAAAGTCTTAAATTATGTATTAGTTCAAAGGTTTTAACAATAAAAAACTAACTTAATTTTTTCCTTCTCTGCACTGATTACAGATCGTAAAGACGGAAATTCATTCGAAGAGATAGCACCGTCTTTAAAAGAATTCATCTCCGGTATTAATTCATAAAGCATCTTATTGTAATTCCTTGTTTTGATTTCATTTCCAGTGAAAATACCTCTCAACTTTGTTTTATTAATACAGTAACTTAATTCAGGTTTTTCGTACACTGGGTTTAACAGGACCTGTAATGTTTTTTTTTTTTGAACAAGTATAGATTTTTTGCTTAAGTAGGTACATATAGTCAATATTTTTTTCACTAAATTCTGAAAGGCATTATTGACGAAATTTTACCACAAAATAAGGTACAAAAGTACACTACCGGTATTATGCCAGCTCTCATAGCACCGACCACAGCCACGACCCATTGTGAACAGTTATGAGACCAGATTCCTAATTTATCGCCTTTTGAAAAACCCCTTTCTCGTAGAGCACACCCAAAGGAATCAGCCTGGAAGATAAAAAAAATATATCGATTATGAAGCGAGCTTAAAAAATGTGATAAAAAATTAGAAGAATATCACCTTCTATCCTAAATTATTAAACTAAGAATAGAATGTAAAAGTACGTATAACAGAGTTTCTGTAATTGAAATAAAACGTCATGGCAATGAGATTGCTTTTAAAATACTGCTTTGTGAGTGACAGGAAAACAATGTAAATTCATATCAATCTTTGTTATTCTACCTTCAACCATCACTTAGGTTACATTATTTAATTATTCGAACTAGTTTATTCTTTATACACAATATATGATATCCTATGATTGATACGTCAGTATTACGAGAAGTGTTATATAATAAATCTTAACAAAAATGTTTACAGTTTCTTTCAAATCGAATGCCAAATTATTTTATCTGATTAATATAACATAGGCCGAAAAAGCTATTTTTTTTTCTTTCAATGCTTCATTCCGATCATAGCCTCATTGAACTTAGGTGTATAAAAAAATAAAACGACTATTGGAATCAAAACCTGAATTTTTATAATATGAGAGTGGAGGTGATCTTAAATCCAGGCAATGAGTTAGATTTTGTCTATAATAAAAGCTTGATAACACGTTGAGTGAAGATAAATCAGATATATGTATAATAAATAAATTTGATGATAAAACGATATACAACGAATTTTTAATTTACATTTCGATATGTAAGTCTTTAATGCGATTAAAAAGTATTTATCTTTATTTCTATAGAAATACTTTACTTTTGTATTCTTATTTATTTATCTTCAAAAATTCTGGTGCAAGTAAGTCATTGACATTGACTTATCAGACAGTCACATCATCAAAGTTTCACCAATTATAAACCGCACGAGGCGATAACAGATATGGTCTTAAGCTTTGTTAATTTGTTCGAGAGCTATACGATAATGATAAAAAGAAAATATACATTTTTTTCATTTTATGTATTCATGGATAAAAGGTCGTTACCTTTATATCTTTACGTTTTAGTTTAACTTTAGTATTAGTATGTATTTTCAATTTATTTCTTTCACTCGTCTTCCAATCTATGTGCGCTTATGCTCCCAAGAATCTAAATTCACAATGAGAAGTTGAATATCGCAACCTCTACCAGCTATCCCCTTAAACCGCCCGAACTTGAAGTATTGCACTTCAGATACAACTGCGAGTATTTTTGGACATTCATAAGGTTAACTTTTGGAATTTGTAAGTGTCATAAGTTAAAAACCTTTTATCAAACATCCAGTGGAAAGCCAACCTCAGGTTTAAAGTTTGTCTATGCATAGCGTCCGATTATCCCCTTCACTTACGAGTCACAAACAATTGTCCAGTTCTCAAGAGAACATAATTGAGATTTTTGCTAACCTATTAATTATCAAATCCATCGACAAATATACATGATATTATGATAAACATTGACATAAACAATGGAGCTAACACACGCACATATCTTAATGCAAATTAATTTCAACTAAACAATAACGCAATGTTAAATAAATTTAGAAAAATATTTTGTTTGGTAATACTTTTGATTGTAACAAAATGGTTATACATACATCATTTAACAGTTCTTCATAGGTTATTGTTACATCTTCATGTATTGATTTGATCGCAACTCGTCCTGGGTATTTATGTGCTGTTTCAGCGACACGGTTTCCAAGTGTGGATATTATTAACGGTTCACTACCTGGGTTTTTTAGGTAGCTGCTCTGATCTGAAGATATACTATGGGCATTTCTGCAAAAACAAAAAAAGTGCATATTATACATATTAGGCTTAATAAGAAAATATTAATGTAGAACCAATAAATTAAATACCATACTTTGAAATAGTATATTGAATTCATTACGTACGCAATACTAACTACTCATAATTATAGTGACAATTGATACATATTTATAAGTAACACTTGAACAATAGCAAGGCAGTATTACAGAGATTAATGATAAAATGTTTGCATTTAATAGTCATAGAATATAAAACTTGAAAAATATATATATACTTCTTGGTACGTTTTTCACTTTCATTAGTATAATATTTTTGATATAAATCACTCATTTAGACTCTCCTCATTCAAGAGTTGTCTACGTATGATCCAAAAAAATAACAAATGAAACAGGAATTTACAGAGTAAGAACTAGAAAATTATAATAAAGTATTCGTAATTAAATGTAATCATATTTGAATATAAAAATAACATTATTGTTATAACTGATTTATAGTTTTTTTCCTACCTTAGACTTCAAATTGATTAAATGAATCAAACTTGTAAAAAACAACAAAAAACAAAAACATTAGATCATATGTAGATTAGATATTTATTAAGGATTACCTGCCAATGTAGCTTCAATTATTAAAATATTATTATAACTATAATTCGACATTGTCTTATTTAGCCAAGACTCAAAAATTATTCAATAATTATTTCTGATTAACTCAATTGAAATATAAATGTCTATGTGGTATAGATATATTCTAAAGTTGTTTCCAATGTACATGTCTTCAGAAGAGTTTTTTTTAAATAAAAATATCACTTTTACTGCCTTTGTTATATTTTTTAATATGATACAAATTAACAGATTTGTATTAAAATCAAAATATATACAGGAATTAATTGTCTTAAAAATTATCGTCGTTCAGTTTATAATTAATTAAAATTATCAAGTGCTTAAGAATATGTCAGGAGTGACATTCTGAATCTACATATGTACGAAAATTGAAAATTTTGTGAAATTTACTAATTAGGTAATTTATTTAAAGTTTAATATGGGAATAAAACTAAATTAATTGTTTCACAAATAGATTTAGTTTGAAGTGATACAAAAAGGTACCAAAACTTTCGAGAATTTCATATCAGTCAAATTTTATAACACGCGTAGGACCTATATAAGAATTATATAGGTCCTACGCGTGTAAAACCTTAAATTTTTATCATCGCATTAATTTTTAAATGACTAATTACATTTTAAATTAATATCATTATAAACACGTATATAAATTATAATTGAGAATGATAATAACATTATTATTTATGAATAGATACACTTTACATAACATAAATATATATAAAACATAAAACGTATGTATTCACATGTATTGCTATTTTTCTCACTGGTTAAGTAATAATATAAGAGTTATATAATAAAAAACAAACTTAAATAATACACCCAAATAATTATTGACGTCATTTGCTAGCCTTTTCTTATCCTTTCTTATACAATCCAAAATAAAAGTCACTCTGTTTATGGATTTTTTATTTGTAATTGATATATTGCTTCGAAATTTATTTTTTAATTATTCCTTAACTGTTATTAGATAATATAATATTTCTAATCCAGACTTAATAAATAATTATTATCTTATCTTTTGTCTTGACTAATAAATACTTGGAAAATGTTAGTAGATATATGCATATCAAGACTCTAGAAATATAAAGCATTTATATTAAATATTCTTATAAGAATAATAATAAAGTAACTTTAGTTTACAAACCTTTATCCATAGTTAACGCATGTAATATACTATTGGTTGTTTTCTAAGTTGTCTTTTAACGAAATTTGGATCGAAACTAATCAATTTCATGTTAAACGCTTTTAATAAGTAGTAATATTTTATCTAAACTCACCTTAAAGAGAACTGTTTCAAAGTCCTTGTCACAAATACGCCACACTTATTAATCATGTCTGAAGTCTTTCCCGCACAAGTACTAAACAGTTACTGATTTAAATACAATACATAATAACAGCTTGTTTTATCATAAGTGACTCATTTATAACTGGTCAAATGTTTTTTATGAAATAAAAGTAAACTCATATAATAATAACTACAGATAATTATTGTAAAGTTGATAAAAATGGGAGTTGTTTTAATTTATTTAAATGAAACTAATATTTTTCGGAAATACTACGTGACTTTATTTTCGAAAAAAAAATACACACTCCTGACCTTTCGGCTACTTTTCATTTAAATAATTAAAACTCGCGAAAATCTTAGATCTTATTAGTTGTTTTAATTTTTGAATGCTTCTTATCACAAAACAAATCCTACCCTAAACTATAATTTAAAGTTAAGGATAATTTTTTTGACGTAATTTTTTAGAAACCTGTCTATTTCTTAAAA